CAAATAATCCTAAAATTTGTATGGAACCAGAAAAGGCCCCGAATAGCCAGAGGAATGTTGAAAAAGAAAAGCAAAGCTGGCGGCATCACAATTCCGGACTTCAACCTCTATTACAAAGCTGTCATCATCAAGACAGTATGGTGCTGGCACAAAAACAGACACATAGATCAATGGAACAGAAGAGGGAGCCCAGAAATGGACCCCTATGGTCAACTAATCTTTGACAAAGCAGGAAAGAATGTCCAATGGAAAAAAGACAGTCTCTTCAACAAATGGGTGCTGGGAAAATTGGGCAGCCACATGCAAAAGAATGAACCTGGACCATTTCCTTACACCACACACAAAAACAGACTCAAAATGGTTGAAAGACCTCAATGTGAGAGAGGAGTCCATCAAAATCCTAAAAGAAAACACGGGCAGCAACCTCTTCGACCTCAGCCGCAGCAACTTCTTCCTAGAAACATCGCCAAAGGCAAGGGAAGCAAGGGCAAAAATGAACTATTGGGATTTCATCAAGATAAAAAGCTTTTGCACAGCAAAAGAAACTGTCAACAAAACCAAAAGACAACCGACAGAATGGGAGAAGATATTTCCAAATGACATATCATATAAAGGGCTAGTATCCAAAATCTATAAAGAACTTATTAAACTCAACACCCAAAGAACAAATGATCCGATCAAGAAATGGGCAGAAGACATGAACAGACATTTTTCCAAAGAAGACATCCAAATGGCCAACAGACACATGAAAAAGTGCTCAACATCGCTCGGCATCAGGGAAATCCAAATCAAAACCTCAATGAGATACCACCTCACACCAGTCAGAATGGCTAAAATTAACAAGTCAGGAAACGACAGATGTTGGCAGGGATGAGGAGAAAGGGGAACCCTCCTACACTGTTGGTGGGAATGCAAGCTGGTGCAGCCACTCTGGAAAACAGTATGGAGGTTCCTCAAAAAGTTGGAAATAGAGCTACCATACAATCTAGCAATTGCACTACTGGGTATTTACCCCAAAGATACAAATGTAGGGATCCGAAGGGGTACGTGCACCCCAATGTTTATAGCAGCAATGTCCACAATAGCCAAACTGTGGAAAGAGCCAAGATGTCCATCGACAGATGAACGGATAAAGAAGAAGTGGTATATATATACAATGGAATATTATGCAGCCATCAAAAGGAATGAAATCTTGCCATTTTTAACAATGTGGATGGAACTGCAGGGTATTATGCTGAGCAAAATAAGTCAATCAGAGAAAGACATGTATCATATGATCTCACTGATATGAGGAATTCTTAATCTCAGGAAACAAACTGAGGGTTGCTGGAGTGGTGGGGGGTGGGAGGGATGGGGTGGCTGGGTGATAGACATTGGGGAGGGTATGTGCTATGGTGAGCACTGTGAATAGTGTAAGACTGTTGAATCACAGATCTGTACCTCTGAAACAAATAATACATTATATGTAAATAAAGAAAAAAAGAAGAAGAAAAAGAATGAAGGGGGGGAAATTGGAGGGGGAGACGAACCATGAGAGACTATGGACGCTGAGAAACAAACTGAGGGTTCTAGAGGGGAGGAGGTGGGGGGATTGGTTAGCCTGGTGATGGGCATTAAAGAGGGCACGTTCTGCATGGAGCACTGGGTATTATACGCAAACAATGAATCATGGAACACTACATCAAAAACTAATGATGTAAAGTATGGTGATTAACATAACATAATAATAATAAAGAGAGTAAATTATAGGCAAGCAATTTATAGAAGAGAGAACTAGAATAGCCAATAACTTACAGAAGGATGTTCAACCTCATTCATAATCACGAAAATGCAAATTAAAATACAAATTAAGCCTTTTCTTACCCAATTGGCAAAAATTTTAAGTCTGACAATGCTGAATATCGTTTCTCTAAATTCCCACCAAACATTGCCGATGAGAGTGTAAACTTCTCCAACTACTCTGATGAAGAATCTAGCAATTGCTATTTATCCTGAAGATGGGCATATCCCACCAAGCAACCCTAAAGTAGAACTGCACACCTATTTACCCAAGCCAAGCTCTTAACTCTCAGTCTTCAGAGCGGATGGGCACTGCCTCAAGAAGCCACATCCAACAATCCCAGCGTGCCATACCAATACTGGCTACATGGGCTATGTGTTAAAAAGGTAGTGAAGCACTTCTCTAAAGAATCTCTTGTACATGTACTTATGGAGACACGTACAAAAATATCCATGACCACACTTACTGTAATAGTGAAAAACAATCTAAATATCAAACTGGAAAATGGATAAATAATGGTTTTCATAAAATGTAATACTATACAAACAAAAAGAATAAACTAGGATACTTCCATCGGCCTAATAAATCTCAAAAACATAGTATTTTGTGGAAAAAAGCAAGGAATAGAAGAATGCATACTGTTTTATATGCCATTTTCATAAGATTTTAAAAGAAGTTTCAAGTACTGCTAGCTGTCCACTAAAATGCTCTTCCTTCAATAGTAAGAGAGTTGCAGCTGAGGTGAGTCTTCTCAGCTAGGTATTGAATCCTCCAGGCTTCCTCACAGCTAGTATGCCCTTGTGATTGAACTTTTGCCAATGGAAAGTTGGCAACAGTGATGTGTACAAATTAGACCTTGAAAATCTCTGGTCCTAATCTTATAGTCTTGCTCCCTCCCCACCTCCAGCTAAATTCATTTCAAGCAGAGAGAGCTAGTTGGGAAGAAAGCCAGTTATTGAATGACTGCACACAGCACAGATTCACTCTTCAAACTGGGCCATCATACAAATCCTTAAGCTGTTGAATTTTAGGAGTTCTGAGTTAGAACATGTTAGTCTATTACTCCCAAAACACACACAGTGCATATTTTTGTGACTACATATACACTAAATATAAAACCTGTAGAATGGAATTATAAATCCAAAACAATAGTTACCTCTGAGAAGAAAAAGAAATGAATGATATTAAAGAGACAGAGCCAAGAAGCTTTTAAATGTATAGCATTCTATCCTTTAATCAGTGGCATAAAAAATGTTCATTACATTACATTAATCTCTAGAGATTTCTGCCTAAAATATTTCATAATAAAGAAGAGAAACTGAATGAATGTGTGGAAAATTACAAGTAACATATTTAAACGTAACATTCACCTTAAAACTCCTTTTTTTTTTTGACTTATTCTACTTATTATATGCTAAAACATTTCAGGTTTATTACTTACTTTCCTGATCTTTTGGATCACTTCCTTCATACTCAGCTCCTTGGATAAACTGCAAAATATTCTGCTTAAAGAACCTCTGGGCCAGATCCAATACATTTTCTCCATTATCATTGAAGGCTTTTAAAGCTTGTGTTGTACTGTTCATTCTACTGAGTAGGAATTTAAAGCAGTGAAGGTGACCTTCCATGGCTGCTAAGTGAACTATAGGAGAAAGAGAAAAAATTTAATTTTTAAATTGACTGTAAAATAACTTGAAGAAAGAAATAACAACATTGGCTCTCATCTTCACAGGAAGATGCCTGTCCCCTCCCTATGTATCAGGGACATACTCTGAGCACGGTAACACCTTTTTTGCAAGCCCACAAGTTCTTCCTCAGCCTTCTAGTCATGCCAAAGCAACAGACTAAATTATTAAAGAGTTATACATACTGTGAATGTACAGATGCCAGATGAGAGATACCAAAGAGCAGGCCCCAGAATATTTCCTTGAAAAGTGAAATCCCAATTATGCCACTTATAATTACATAAGAAAATACTTGCCATGTAAGACAGATGATAAGTAAACTCATTTTAATGTTTTGGAAAAAAGTGGAAGAAATAAACCAAAATAGTCACTATGCAAATATGAATGTTATTTTTATCACTATGTATTTTGTCACCTTTCCATAGACATTATTTTTATTAAAAACAGAAAGACTGGATCAAAACTTCAGACAAAGCACACATACTACCTCACCATTTCTATTCTCAATCCTTGAAAATAATAGAAAAGATATTTTTTGAAGCCAAAAAAGACTAGGAAAATGAACCAGAACACCAAGAACAAACAACAAATGTTAAGGAACCCCTGAAAGAAAACATACTCAATCAGACTGAAGGAGAGCCACAACCCAAACTCTGCAAAAAATAGGAACAGTTCTGGGGTATTACAAGCTTAGAGGTAGCGATTACAAAGGGAGGCTTTACATCCCCGGAGAAGTGACTACCTGGGAAATAGCCCAATCAATATAAAAACCTCGCCTCTGGAGAAGTAGGGCAGTGCCTAAGTGACCAGTGTAATGCAGGGAAAACAAGATGTAACAACACCCAAAAGATAAGCTGCTGGCACATGCCACTCTACACTTTCTCAGCTAAACCTGAAAAAACCAAAAAACTCCCCATAAAACTTGAGACTCCTCTAACACCTCATTCATCACATATACACTTACATGTCTTACAGGCATTGGGAATTTAACATCAAAAACTCAACTCCTCATCCCTCTTGCATACATTTTCCTTACATGGTTTTCCCCAACTTACTTGATAGGAACTCTCTTTTCCATGGAGTTCTTGCCCTGGAGCCATCCTTGACTACTCTCAACACCTCATCAATCAGCAAATCTTATTGATTCTATCTTTAAAGAATGCACAGGCCCCAGTTACTTCCCACTATCTCTGCTACCTCTGCTCTGCTCCAACCAAATAGCAGCATCAAATTATTGCATCAGGCTCCCAGCTGCTATATTTCTCCCCTTGCCATCCTCAGTCTATTATAAACAAAATAGAGAAAAAGTTCTTAAATGTAGTCAGATCATGTCACTGCTGTGCTCAAAATCCTTCAATGGCTCCTGTTACCTCTCTGACGTCATTATCTATAACTCACCCTCTCACTTCTGTTCTAACCATACTTACTCACTGTTACTACCTGCTTTCAAATACACTCCTGGCTCAGGAGCTTTCACTGGCTGTTACCTCTTTCTGAAATACCCTTTCCCCATGATGGTCACAAGACCTGCTCCCTCAACTGCTTCAGGTCTTTACCCAGTGATCACCTCCTCCTTGAAGGCTTCCCTGACCACTATATTTTAAAGTTCATCCTCTTTAACATTCTTTTCCCTTCTCTGATTTTATGCACACATATGACCCTGTAATTTATATTCTTTTGATTATTGTCTGTGTCCCCACCACCACCACCACATGAAGGCAGGGACTTTTGTCTGTTTTATTTGGTGTGACACCCCTAGCATCTAGAAGAGGGAATGACACGTAGTAGATGCTCAGTAAATAAATGTTGAATTAGTAATTTCAGATAGAGATTTGAACACAAGTAGTACTGAAGCCACATTCTTAACCTCTATATTATACTATTAAAAAATATACTATATATGGTCATAAAAAATTATATGTGTTTAAAGAAATAAAAGTCGATTTTTTTTTTTATGAGCAAGCAGAAAGACTTTTAAAAATGATCAGGCATATTTAATAAAGAACCATATAAAAACAAAATTGCCCCCTACCTTGTATTACAAAAAAGTTAGTGCCAGGTGGGCTGGAAACCTAAATGTTAAAGTAAAATAATAAAATTTCTAGAAGATAATATAAAAGAATGTCTTCATGATCAAAGAGTAGGGAAAGACTTTTTTAACAGGATGCAGAAAGGACTAACCATAAAGGAAGACCTTATTAAACTTGACTACATTGCAGTTAAAACTATCATCAAAAGAAATCTGAAAAGAATGAAAAGGCAAGCCATAGAATGGAAAAAATATTTAAATAAAAAAGATATTTGCAACACATATAAGTGACAGAGAGCTTGTATCTAGACTATATAAAGAACCCCTACAATTAATTTTTAAAAAGAGAGAAAACTCAATAAAAAATAGGCAAAATATTTGAACTGGTACCATAAAAAGAAAATAACCAGGGGCACGTGGCTGGCTGTCAGGAGTGCATGCAACTCTTGATCTCAGGGTTGTGAGTTCAAGCCCCACATTGGGTATAGAGATTACTTAAAAATAAACATATTTTTAAAATAAGAAAAAGAATAGTAAACATTTTTTTATTTTTTTTTTAAAGATTTTATTTATTTATTTGAGAGAGAGAGAATGAGAGATAGCACGAGAGGGAAGAGGGTCAGAGGGAGAAGCAGACTCCCTGCTGAGCAGGGAGCCTGATGTGGGACTCGATCCTGGGACTCCAGGATCATGACCTGAGCCAAAGGCAGTCGCTTAACCAACTGAGCCACCCAGGCACCCGTAAACATTTTTTTAAAAAAAGAAAGGAAATAACAAGATGGCCATTAAATATATGAAATGATGTTCTATAATACTGATCAATAATTATTTTAAATGTAAATAAACTATTAAATACTCCAATCAAAAGACATAGGGTGAGTGAATGGGTAAAAAAACAAGACCCATCTATATGCTGACTATAAGAAACTCATTTCAGACCTAAAAACACATACGGACTGAAAGGAAGGGTTGGAAAAAGTTATTTCACACACAAATGAAAGTGGGGGGAAAAAGCTGCAGTAGAAATACTTATATCAGACAAAATAGACTTTAAAACAAAGACCGTATGATAAACAAGGGCATTAGAAAATGATAACCAATTGTGCAATAAGAGAATCTAACTGTAAATATCTATGCACCCAATATTAGAGCATCTAAATACATAAAGCAAATAGGAAAAGACATAAAGGGAGAAACTGATAGTAATAAAATAATAGTAGAGGACTTTAAAACCTCACTTAAATCAATAGATAAATCATCCAGGATTAAAAGCAATAAAGAAATAGTGGCTTTGAACAACAGATTAGACCGGATGGACTTAACAGATCACATACAGAATACTCCACCTCAAAACAGCAGAATACTCATTGATTTCAAGTGCCATGAAACAGTCTCCAGGACAGATTACATTTGGCTACAAATCTCAATAAATTTAAGAGGACGAAATCATATCAAGCATCTTTTCCAACTACAAAAGCATAAAACTAGAAATCAAGCACAAGAAAAAAAAAACAGAAAAAACACAAACATCTGGAGGCTAAACAATATGCTATTAAACAATCAATGGGTCAACAAAGAAATCAAAGAGGAAATTATAATACATATGAAGACAAAAGAATATGGAAACATAATGGTCCAAAATCTTTGGGATGCAGCAAAAGCAGTTCTAAGAGGAAAGTTTATAATGATACAGGCCTACCTCAAGAAACAAGAAAAATCTCAAGTAAACAATATAACCTTACACCTAAAGGAACTAAAAAAAGAAAAACAAAGCCCAAGTTGCAGAAGGAAGGAAATAATAAAGATCAAAGAGGAAATGAATGAAAGAGAGACTAAAAAATAACAATTATAATAATAAAAAAAGATTAATGAAACCAAGATCTGGCTCTTTGAATAAACAAAACAAAACTGATAAACTTTAGCCACATTCATCAAGAAAAAAAGAGAGAGAACTTAAATAAATAAAATCAGAAATGAAATGGGAAAGGGGCACCTGGCTAGTTCAGTTGGTAGAGCACATGACTCTTGATCTCGGGGTTATGAGTTTGAGCCCTACATTCAGTGTAGAGATTACTTAAAAATTTAAAAAAATCTTTAAAAAAATGAAATGAAATGAGAGCAGTAACAACTGTCACCACATATACAAAGAATTATAAGAGACTATGAAAAAATCATATGTCAACCAATTGGAGAACCCAGGAAAAAAAAAGATAAATGCCTAGAAATATAAAATCTTCCAAAACTGAATCAGGAAGAAATAAAAAAATTTGAACACACTATTTACTAGGAAAAATTGAACTGGTAATCAAAAAACTCCCAAAAACAAATGTCCAGGATCAGATGGAGTTACAAGAAAATTCTATCAAAGATTTAAGGAAGAGTTAACACCTATTGTCCTCAAAACATTCCAGAAAATAGGAGAGGAAGGAAAACCTCCAAATTTATTCTTGGAGGCCAGCATTATCCTGATACCAAAAACAAAGACACTACAAAAAAAAAAAAAAAAAAGGCCAATATCCCTGGATGAATACAGATGCAAAAATTCTTAACAAAATATTAGCAAACTGAATTCAACAATTCATTGAAAAGCTCACTCACGCAGGAAAAGATGGCGGAGGAGTAGGGGACCCTATTCCAACTGG